TAACATATATATATATATATATATATATATATACACACATGTAATTTTGTTACATGTTGCTTTCTAGTTACTAATTTTGATTTGTTTCTACACTTAGCTAACACATATCCAGAACTTTGAAGAAGAGCTTACAACATTATTAGACACCAAAGCTGGTGAAACTAATGAACAGCTTGGAAAGGAGATGTTTGACCTGGCACTAAAGTGTTGTAGAGACAGAAAGAAAGATAGACCGACAATGGTCGAGGTAATTTTACCTTATTATCAGTATTGACTAGTTGATAGCAGTACATTCAGTGATTAAAGTAAGGAGATCCCCATAGCTATAAAGTACCAAGGGGAGCTGGAACAATATTACAGGATATTTGAAAGTTTATGGAGGAACTATACAAATAGGAGCATATGCAGAAAGTGGTGTTCACTGGGAAAGACTTAAATTGGGGCTAACTGTCCAGAATTAGATGGAATCGGGAACAATGGGTATGGCTAACATTTTACCTTGTCACTCAAAGTCATCCAAGGATGTACAACTCTGGTTGTCATCAAAAACTGATGGTTACTTTTTCTTCTCTGATATACAACATACTGGATAGTTGAGTTTCTAAAGTTTTCTACAAGGAATGACCAAGCAAGTTAGACACTACCACCTCAGCTCCAGATTTCAACTTTAACCACATTTTACGTTTAACTGAACTCAAGTAAAGTTAACACTAGTTTAAGGATTGTTGATACTGAGTTATGGTCATCTGGAGTATATGCAGTGATTTGACATGATTTGGAATTCAATTTCACAAGATGAGTAAACCCATCTTATTTTGTTTTTCTTTGCTGGACTTTGTTATGACTGAGTACTGAAATGAAATTTTCTCATAAATGTAGATGTATATTGATCTGTTCAGGTGTATGGTGTGTAAGGTGGTGGAACCAGTCTTTCCACTTCGGCATGAATAACGATTCTTTTGAAGAATCATAATTAAAACCCTAATATGGTTTTATAAACATAAGACTTTAAGGGAGAAACTTAAACATTTTTTTCATCTCATTTACAGTTATATGGTCACTGACCCTTCTTTTGTTGAAATAGGGCTAGATAAAAGAGGTACATAAAGTTCATTGAATACATATACTTCTATTTACCAAACCATTACTTTGCTTCCCTTCATTTTCCAAATGGTTTCATATAAAATCAGCCAGTAAAAAAAAAGACAACATCTGATCATAATGCCTTTTCAAGGCATTTTTTCCTGTGATTTTATTTCTGTCTGTAGGATGAAACTTATAAGATTATCATGTTTTGATGACAGTAATTTTTTGCACAATTGGTATTTGTCATTACATTTGTGTTAGTGGGAATTCAAAGTGTACTGGATGTGTGTGTGTGTGTGTTTACACTTGAAAGTGTTTCTCATAACTTATGTTTAGATAATGTGTATTGAATACTAAGGTAATTTTTAAACGTTTAAAAATGAAGTTTACAAACCAATTTTGATATAGTACTTATAAGAATCCTGACATTTTATGCCCCTACTGTGAAGCATTACAGAGAAAGGCACTTTGGTTTGACCCTGTCCATTTGTTCCAATCACAGGACAAGATATCTCAAAATTTTATCAATGGATTTTGCCCAAATTTACATAACAGGTACTACATACAAAGCTCTTAGGTTTAGTAACTTTTGAAGTTCATGGATCAAAGGTCACTAGTACACAGAGGGCTTCTCCTTCCATTTGGAAGGTTAGTATACATCAAATTGGAGAGACCTAAACATACACTATGATATTAATGGGGGCATTGGTGTTTCATAAATACAACTTGCACTTATTTTGTTTGCGGACATGTACACACTAGTAGTGTGTTGTATTATAATTTTCTTAAATTGACATTAATATACTGGAGGAGCATTATGAACACAAATAATTAATTTAATCATTGGCTTAAAAGTTTTAGTTTACATTGCTTTTTTTTAGGTAAATACCTTACTTTGGGTTCTGTAACAACTACTGATGCCTAAGTTACATCAACCTGTTGAAGTCGCACACCGGAACATCAGTTGCAATCAAATATAAAATTGAAGTTAATTATTATACACATATATGCCAATAAAGACAATATACAAATAGTAATCTTAGCATTGCAAAAGCTGAGAATGAATAAGATTTTAGCATCATCAAATGCTTTATGATATAATTGTATATATGCTAGCAGTTTTATGAGCAAGGTAAGTTAAATATTAGAATTTTTAATAAATATACTAACAAACAGCTGTCAAAAACTTGTTTTAAAGCCTGAAAAGATTTCTTTGTAAAATGCTACTATGCCTTTATTCTTGTAGCTAGTGTATGAAGAAAGACAAGTTTCAAGATTTGTTTATGTTTTGCTGAAGAAATTAATCCTAGTATATATGCTGTTAGGATACCATAAAGAACTTAATTAATTTCTTCATCCCTGAAGATATTTTTGGAACTTCTGAATGTTATCTGGTGAATATTCTGAACCCACTACTTGTTTTTTGTAATTGATATTTACTCTTTTTTCACTGAAAGTTCTGAACCTCTGTTGTGTATTTATCATATTTGAAAAATACATTCAATTCTGAACATCATTCTACTATACTGTTTTATACACGTTTTCTGAAGATATATATATTTCTTATACTGATAAAGAATGCTAAGAGAACATAAATTGGAGATTGTAACTATAGTGATTGTTTTTTTTTATCTTTTTCAGGTTCTTCATGAGCTTGAGGAACTTCTAAAACACCTCTAACTCAATGAACAACATATTTGAATCGAAGAATTTAGTACATATTGAAACAGTCACTGATGATATTACTCAAAACCACTTTGGAGTTTATACATGTATCAAATCAGTTTTCTTGTTATATCTAACATGTAAACATGGAAAATTTAAGACTGTATGAATTGAATGTTGTCAAATATGCTACATGTTTATTTTTTATACCTAAATTATTCTTTCTGTATTCAAGATAACATTCTTAGTTTGTATAATGTATTTTTATATCTTTTTTTTATGTACAGCAGTTGGTAACTAATAAATCATGTCTGTGCTTTTTAATGATTATTCTTTTTATTTAGGATTTTACTTTTGGTAATTGGGTTTTAACATAATTCCATGATGTAACCTTCTATCAGTAGTCATAAAGATGTTGTTATGATGAGAATAAATTATCATACAATAAAAAAGCCAGATATTTTTTAACTTATTTCAAAAAAGATTAAAATATGCTTTCTTCCAACTGAATATACTTTTTTGTTCATTTAGACAGTAGATAATATGTAAGTTTTGTTGGACCAAACTCCTTAATAGTTTATTCTTGACAATGTTTATCACAGGCTTTGTTTTGATCAGATTACATAAATACAATTGAGCTGAAAATGGTTATGTGTGTTTACAGAAATCTCTGAAAAATCATCAAAAATACCAAAAAATCTCTAAGTTTTATATTCACCATCAGGCAGTTGTGTTTAACTCAACAAACTTACTATCTACTATACTGTAAAATAAAGATAACATTAGAAAGCCAAAGAATAAATCGTTTCAATATATAAATATTAGACTAATTTGCTTTTTAAAATAAAATAAAATAAATCTTGAAGATGAAACCTTGCCATGTTGAAAATTTTGATTAGTAATTGTAATTTTTCCCGAATGTTAGTCAATTCTAGCTAATTTATTCTGGATGAATTGAAAACTTGTAAAAGTAGAATTATTTAGAAGAATTTTTCTCATAATGTAATTATTCTTAAATATTTGATAAATATTTATTTAAAAATATATAAAAAGATCTTAACTTAATTCGTTGAAAAATTTTGCAAGAAATACAAAATTACCAAGTTTGATCTACCTTTTTGAGATTAAAAACTTAATAATTCATTTCTGTGCTTATAAAATTCCAGAGAAGAACTAGTAATCAAACTGCTTAGAAATCAGAAAAAAGTTTTCAAAATTTAATTTGTTTACAAACTATCTGCTAAATATGTAAAGCGCCATCTAGTTATAAATGGCGCGGATGGCCGAAAGCTATTATTGGTTGAATGATTTTTTTTTTTTTATTATTATTATTATTACTGGCACGCACGTCTAAGTTCACTAAGGGTTACTAGGATTAGTGTTAAGCAATGGAAACTAAAGTATATTAATAAGTGTGACCTTTGTCTATATGTTTAATAGTAAGGCTTTTAATTATTACAGTTAAAACTTATAAAGTAATGTGAACCTTTGATGGTTTTGGTAACTTAAGCTTAACAGTATAGTTAACCCTCTTTAAATGTGTTATTTTCATCTTTTGACGTTTTGGATGGAATTAAGATTAAGAGATGATGCAATAGAAGGATGTCTTGGAATATTTTCTGACTTTGAAAAATTGCTATTTTTGACAAAAGTAAATACAGAGTAAAAAAGGATCTTTCAGATTGTTGTATAATTTTATTTTTAAACTTCAAAATTATTTAATGTTGAATATGAAAAAAAATTAATGAGTTGTAGAATCATTTTAAACAACAAAATATTTTGCTGAAAATAGAAACAATCTCTTACATTGTCGTAGAAAATATAGAAAGAATCTTTCACGGTTTCGTAGAATTTGAAACTTTAAAATATTTTGTGGCAGAGGTTTTTTTGCAGAGATTTATTAATTCCTCTCGGATGTAGAAATAGTTCTTCCGAAATTGGAAAAACATAGTTTTAAAAAAAAAAAGTCTTAAAACAGCTTTCAGTTTATTGGAAAGACACTGTTTATATTAAGATTGCGGTTATGGAATTTTTTTTATTTTTGATCGATTCAGGAACATTATCCTGTATAGGTATTTTAAGTTTTATTTCATTTGCTTATCTGATTGTTAAACACATTTTATTTTTAAAATTCGCGCTTCTTAAATAATATATATATATATATATGTATGACTTTTGTTTTCATTGCCTTTAAAACTGAAATATAAAGGCCAAGCAGAATTAAGGGCTGTAAATGGCTCCATCGCGAAAGTTTTTGGAAGTAATACTGAAATAAAGTTTATGCCCGTGTTTCATTTGCAAGTTTCTGATATTTCGAATTTATAAAGTCATAAATATGGTCAGATCCCATACCTAGATTCAGAAGAAATAAAATAATTGATTTCTTAGATGTTATAGTGAATGAACATTTTTCAATGAAATCCAGTTGGTTTGTGCGTTTTGTGGTCCTAATAACGGACTTATCTGGGAAAAATAGATTGTGACGAAAATCAGGTAAAAATTATATAAAACGTCCAGTCATGTGACATGTTTATATATGAAATAAACTACTTAAACCTTTGTGTTAATAAAATATATTTTCCTAAAATAAATAGAAGTTCGCCTGATTTGGCATGGAATACTGAAATGTGATTTGTTGAGTAAAGACCGCCGTGTATTATTATCTTAGGACGTACTGACGTACGAGATATTCACAGATCGTGTAACCCAGTCTTTCTGAAGAGTGTATGAAGTGTACTTGGTTTTTCGAGTAGTTTGGTTTCAGAACCGTGTTTTATTTGTACCTTTGAACAATTTCTGTACATTACTTATTGTTTTATCTGGATATTATTTCTGAATAAAGTTGTTATAATTTAAGAACAAACATGTTAACTACATTTACTTGTAGGGTTGTAGCATGTCGATGGGTGTACTACACAGACACCATTTCGATTTTATTTGTAAAACCAGGGTTTGGGTGCCTGCTGGATATCGGTGTAACTGAATATACAACATATACACAGCGTGGTCACAAGTAAATAGACACCACTTTTTCAGAAAATATGAATTTTTCAGTCATATTCACATGAATTGATATATTTATAATTAAATT